TGCCACTACGTGGCAACTCACGTGTTTTGCCAACACCCACCTTCCTCTATAGTTTAGGTATTCCGCTGCTATACTATTGAGCTATAAATATGAAGGTGTGGAAGCCTTGGGCACTGAACAAATCTCACTATCGGTCAGTCTATCTTTCTGTGTCTCGATGCACTCGTGCGGGGCTACGCGTTTCCTCTCGAGTCTCAGCTCGCGTCCATCACAATGAGCCTGGACTTAAATGCGGTGCGATGGTTTGCGTGCCTCAGCGATCCATTGGGCTATGCTGGATGGTGCTTTTCGCATCTTCATAGTCACTTATACTAGATCGGTCAATGGTCAGAGGCCAGACAAACTCAACCTCCTAGTCCTCCAGGTTGGTGTTTAGAGCGAGGGTGGTTCCTTACTCTATAAAGCGAGATCCTTGTATCCCACTGCCAAACTCGCTGCCTTGCTGTCAGATTTTTGAACTAAAGGTTTTGGTTGAGAACCCTAATCGTCCTCATGTCTAGACCTGGACAAACTGACGGTATCCTGCCCGTGCAATACAACAATATGACTTTCCCTTTAGACAATCTCCTGATGCTCTGCCCGTCGTTCAAAACACTTCTGCGGAAAGGTGTTCCTACGAAATATGTGAACATCTTACGTGCTCTATACTCGAACACTACAGGCCGCGTCAGAATCTACGGTGACCTGTCTGTTTTCTTTCCAACAACAAGTTGTGTTCACCAGGGTTTTCCAATTTTCCCATTTTTGTTCATTCCTGTCTTGGACTCCATCATGAAGTGTTCCCTTATGTAATCTCATGATGTAGGCGTTGAGGTCCTGCCTGGTGAATGGTTAGTTGGTCTTGATTATGCAGACCATATCATCTTGCTTTTTGACGATCTTGCGACGACACAATCAACGCTGAATAACCTTTCTAGAGTGGTCCCATTATTTGGTATGCTCTTCGCGCCTTCAAAGTGCAAACTGTTGTTACAGGACCACCAGCCACTTGATGACCCCTTGATCCTTGGTAGCGAGAAACTCGAGATATTTGATCGATTCACTTCCCATGGCAGCTGTATCAGCAACGGTGGGCGCACTTAAACTGAAGTCACTTCGCGCATTGCAAAGGCCAGAACTTCCTTCTCGAACTTGCGGCATCTGGCGATAAAAAGGAGTTTTCCTCCATCTGAAAGGTCCTGTATACAAGGCTACAGTGAGGGCCCTCCTACTCTGTGAAAGTGAAAATTGGCTCCTCCAGTTTGAGGATCTGAGGCGCCTTCAACTCTTTGATCATCGTTGTCTGCGAAGCATTACTGGCGTCGGGTGGCACCAGCGTGTCCGCAACGTTTACTTCACTTGCATGAAGTTGCTCGCTTACTAATTGCATGCACTGACTTCCGGCACAACCCGCCGGAAGGTGATATGACACACATTAGCCTTGGACGCAAATCGATCACATCGTGATCAGTTATTTCTTTAGAGGCTGCGTCCAAAACTGTCGCTCAATTTGGAGAACATGTGTGGACACTGACCATTCACTTGTATGTGTTGATCTGCGGGTGCGTTTGTGCACGCCCACGACGACGCTATGATCGCATAGAGACCAGCCAACTGATGAAGGCATGCGTTCGGAATGCGTATCGAAGCACGCTAGCGTTCGAGTTGAGTAAGCACTCACTGAATGCATTTGATGGTAACTGGTCGCATTTTCACCAGACCTTACTAGCAGCAGGCAAATCCTCATGTGGTAAGTCTAATCGCCAACATAGACATTGAGTCTCTTCGCAGTCTCTGGAACTTTCGATACTCACCCTCACATTCCGGTTGGAAACGAATACAACGAGACTCGCAAAGACCTCAGTGCAAAACTCCGTGCTGTGCTGAAGAGAGACCGCGAATTTTGTCGTGCGTGAGAGGTGGAAGTACTTGCTGCGGTTGGTAACCATCGGAAGTTATTCCGTCTGATACGGGAAACGTGCAACAAGAGACCTGGTGTTAGTGAAACTATACGTGACGAGCGTGGACGGCCTATCCAAAACTTGTCAAAACGTTTGGTGCGTTTAGGCCGAGCATTTTGAAATGCAATTTAATCGGCCGGTATTGTTGAATCTTTCACCGGCCACTGATCGCCCTGATCCAAAGGATCCGCCCTCACGCACAGAAGTCGAACGTGCGATCGACGGTTGAAGTTGAGCAAAGTCTCGGGACCAGATGGTCTTCATGCTGCCCTCTTCGAATTCGAAGACCCTGATCTTGTGGGTGATTTACACGAGTTACTCGTGAAACTGTGGGAGCAGGAAGCTGTCCCGACAGACTGTAGCACTCCATTATTGTCTCGATCTTGAAAGGAGGTTCGCGTTCGGAATGCGACAACCATAGAGAAATCAGTCTGAGACCCATCGCTTCCAATTTACTTGTTTCTCTAATCATTCACAGACTGACTGGCGTTCGTGAAAGCCAGATTCGTGATGAGCAAGCTAGGTTTTGTCGAGGTCGGGGATGCTTCGACCACATCTTCACACTACATCAGTTGTCAGAGCACCGTCACGTATATTGGCGACTCACCGTTGTCGTCTTCCTCTACATAAAAGGTATCTTGGATTCGGCGCATCGACGTGCCCTTAGGGACTGTCTACTAACGAAAGGTGTGCCCGATAAGTATTTACATATTATGTGAGTGCTTTACGTGCGTAGATTAGGCACAGGCAGGCAGTCTGTCGCCGCCCTTTAATGTCTTCAGCAGTCTAAGGCAAGGTTGCCCGCCCTCACCTTTCCTCTTCAACTTCGCTATTGACGAAGTCATGAAATTCGCGTTCACAGGGCACGACTTCGAAGGTGCGGCATTGCTCCCAAGTGAAGGACTTCTTGACTTCGAGTAAGCTGACGATATTGCCCTCATCTGTGACAGCTCACAAACGTGCCAAGGAGCATTGGACAGATTAGCACTGGCTGTCCCCCGTTTCGGGCTATGCTTTGCACTCTGGAGGTGCAAAGCTTTCCTCCAAAATTTACAGGGACCGCTTGCTTCGCTAACCTTTGGTGGGGATCAGCTGGAAGATGGATTTCATTTGCTGCTCCGTCAGCTTCGTTTATTCTACTCGGGCGTCCGATTCTATACTGGTGTCCTATGTGAACGAGTTCCAGCCTTGTGGTGTTCGCACGCAATCTCATTTTACGCACCACTTTGTTCATCTGAACCTGCGCGGTTCTTCTTCAAGAACGTTTTATTATCACGTTACTTGTGAGTAGTGCCATGTATTACGTCATTTTAAACCTCGACTATTTTCCGTATAACCCTTTACCCGATGGGTCAACAAATGTATTTCACAGCGGGCCGGGTACTACTTGTGCACAATTTTTGCAAGCCAGAGTAAAAACGGGGGAAAACCCAAAGAAAACAAAAAAATCCGCCTGCACTCTTCCTAGTGGCCACAATGCAGGGGAAAATAAACGGAATCTGAAGAGTCTTTATATTACAAACATAAGAAGCATCCTTTTGAAACACCATTAAAGCAAAAGACTGAAAGTCGTTGGTTGAGCTACGGTTCATATATATATATATATATAAGCTCTTGGAGGGCTTGATTAAAGCATTTCCACCGGCGTCAGACCAACTAGCATTGCCGGAACTGGCTAGCTGTATAACCTCCACTTGGTGCTAGCTGTTTACTCCGGCTTAATCCTGTTTCAGCGAATGGTTCGGCGGCATGGTTCTAAGACCTGCGGTGTTGTCACTTTTCAAGCTTTCTTTCTATATAAAGCCACAAATGTCCGTTTAACAACATTGTGATATGGCGTATACGGCTTACCTTTAGGTAAAGTCACTGACTTTCCGGAGATTCTTACCGCATTTACGAACGTTTGCCATTTCGACGATTTCATTTGATCGCTTCTTATGTTGGCGAATTCCCTGAACAAAACCACAAATTCAGAATCGCTGCATCAAATCCACAACACGTCATTACTTACCCAAACACATACATATATACGTGCAACATAAATCCAGTATGTACTGGTTAATTTTTAAACTTTGTGTACAATTGCTGATCATGCGCGTCTTTAATTCTTCGTCTTTTTTGGCGTGTATCGCTCTACCCTAGAACAAAACATTTATTTATTTATCTACATGCAGTTAGCAACACCCGTATGTACGAATTCTGACAATTTGCGCTTCCATCCCAATTACCTGCCCACAGTTTGCTATTTGGTCAAAATTGTCAGCAAATCTGACTTCCAAGTGGCATGAGTACACGCTGTTGGCGTCTCAATGTGTTGCATTTCATATGAGCGGACCAACCGAATTCTCTATGGTACCGCAGTGGAGTACATGGACACGCTGTACGATGCACGGATGCATGGATTTAATGCATGATCAATTACATCAATTTCCCGACGATGTGAGACCACTGTGTTTCACATACTGTATCATGAGCTGGATCACACTAGTTTAAGATCGCCGCCTGTACGACGTACAATATCCAGTGGGAACGGTATCCCCATGTCTCTTGTTCTATACAAGCAAATTCGGATACAGTCAGCCGGTCTGATGATCTGATGTCGCCGGCCGTAGTTTGATGATCCCTGCTCTATACTCTGTTGTGAAACACTGCAGCATTTCAGCTGCTCGTGTGCATGTCGCCTATCGTGTACTCTTTCAGTAGTTAAAACAGTCTTGGCAACGATCAAAAATCAATGATCTGTAGAGCAAAGCATATTTCATACTAGGAGGGGTGCTATTTGGTTGCAACGTCTTCACGTTGGCAACGTTCCGTTTTTGAGTCTTCCACCATATGTATGTATCCATCGGTTCGTACGTTCTCCTCTTTGAAATGCTCTAGCCGTTCGCGGTTTCTGCTACTCGTATCCGGGCCACCAACAATCTTTCTATTCCTGTTTTGACGGCATTCTTAGATGAACTATCAATCGGATTTACTGTGCTACAATCGTTCTACGTTTGCTTCCTTTCTGTAGATCGAATATTCCACTCTTCATTTGTAACTTTTCCCCCCTCTCTCCAGTTGGTTATTAGAGGCAATGAAGTTACAACTGGAGAGCGAAACTCTAGTCGATTCCATCGAAGGGACTGGTGACATTTCTGGGGAACTTCCTGCAACAGAACCTGGGTGTTCTGCTCCCTCGGACGTACTTCAAAGGAGCTTCGGCGCTTGCCACCTGTATAGTTTGCCTCCTTGTTTAGTGAAGGACTTGTTGTACCGAACTTTGACTGCGGATAAATCGTTCAATCGTACGCAGAGCACAACTGACCGAAATGGTGATACTGCTGCTGCACCATGTGAGTTCCGCTTACCGGTCAACTCTGTGTTTCTATGTGGTATGCTATCGAACGACGTGTTTGTGGTCCGTATTATTTCTACGTTTTTTGCTCTCATTCGATCATGCTAACCTGAATCATCCGCCCCCATGTAATGCGTTGACCATAGTTTCCATGTTACACCTAGCCTCACATTCGTCGCGCTTCAAGACTCGTCGTCTTCGGACGCGGCGCAAGCAAGATGCATTTCCACATGATCCACACGAAGAACGTCCAGATGATGGGACACCAAGTTCTTCAGCAGACACCCTCTTCCAACGCCAACTGAATGGATGTTTGGGACGTGTTCCACCCAAATTTTACCAATCCCTTTATCTTATTTTGGAACGATCTCCTCATGGTGTTCTCATCTGGAACAAATTACTACCGCAAGTCAGTTTTTTGGTTCTCTTTTTTGTTGTGAATGTTCCGCTGAATTCATCACTTAGCTATCCCCGCTGTTGAGTTTGCTCATTATAAACCAAAAACCTGACTATTTTCATCAGTATGGCAATTTTTTTACATGGGACACGCGATGAGCGATCTTTGCTACCATTTCCCCTCGCATTTATAGGAAATAATGCATGGGCCAGGCTCTCAGATAACAAAATTTAGCACCTTAATAGTTTAAAACCTCGTCTTTTAATCTGCAACTTCAGTCTTCGTCAGATTTGGCGACTGCAGCTTGTTCAGGATAGTGGGCACTTCTAAATGCATGCCATTGCCTATTACCGTCGATTTACTGACGTGACTCAATACTGACTATCATCTCCCACGCCCATTTTCCTCCGGTACGATCGCATTTCCAAAGTCGTCTTCTCTCAGGTCCACATTGAAACTTAATTTCCGCCCCCTTTTCTAGAGCTATGTTATAACACACGTTAATTGTTATCGCTCACAAACGGGAACGGCGAAACCAATTGAATTAAATAAATGAATGAACGTTTTTTGTTCTCAACAATGTGTGAGACACGTCTGCAAAGGCATGTTAATGATGATACAAACATTAAGGACCGGTACATTCAGATAACGCTACCAGTTTATCAGTAGATCATATGGATCCATGTGATAGGTTTATATGAACTTTTATAGGTATGAATGTGTGTGGCTGTGTTGCTTGGATTTGTAAATGTAACGCCGTATTTTTGACGTTTGGGTCGGATCGTCAGCGTGGGAAAAGGTGAAGGGAAATCTTATTGGATGACTGAGGTTCGTAGATTGGGTAAGATCATCCAGATACGGAAGAGGCAGTGACTTGAGTTAGTGGCGAGACACATTCGCCACGTCGCGGTGTTGTTTAACATCAAATCGGCACGGTCTAAGTGAAGTAGACGCTAGACGTTGTACATGTGAGCGAAGAGTGGAGACGTAATGCGCGTGTACTCTCACACGAATACGTGGCAACCCAGAAAGAATGACTCGCCGATAGCTCGTTTACTGACCCAGCCGAAGATAAATCACAGGGGCATGAGCTGCCGCATAGTGGTAGTGTTCTGGGGGAAAACTCACGAAATATGTGTGGCTTATGCTTGTAGCTGCTGTAGTGCCCTGAGGAGTGGTCAAATTGTCCACTGCTGTTTGAGACGATGCATACGACAGTGTCCTGTTTGCGCGCATTCTAACTCGCCGCATACTCGCAGTAATGCTGAGGTGAGCTCGGGTGAACTCTGCATGTTTTGTGGACCGATGTCATATCCGCTTCAAGTCACCGTACTGTCGATTATCAAATGTTTTCTCATGTTGTCTGACATAGTCCGAGCGTGTCACAGTAATTGGTACCCCATTACACTCGGCTTCTGGTCAGCTTAGATGGAAGCCAGCTAAACTCACATATGGCAAATAAATTGTCATCACATTCTAGGGGGTACGTGTGACTCGCCCCCGCGGGTTCCCGTCGGACTCTGCAGTCACTCCGCACCACTTTGTAAGTTAAAGTGGAGAAGCATAATCTCCTGATCTATTTCCCAAACTTTCCGTCTTGTTGGACCGTGCTGTTTATTCCTCGGGGGGAGCAATTGTAAGTATCATATACTTTTATTCTTCCTTCACTGGTGTTCATACCCGTTTTTCCACTTCTCTCCCACCGTATCTTTTTTCTTCCTATATGAATTATCTATCTAAACTAACAATGTACTTGAATCCAATCCTGTGCACTTACGTGTCGGATCACTGCACAAGAGACGCTCTGCTCCAGTTTTCTGTATGTATACAAAGAGGTCCGTTACAACCCGTCTGGACTTTATCATGGGGCGATGATCTGTGGGCCCCACTTGAGTTGTGCTGGCTGATGTTTCTTGCGCCTTCGGGGTCACTCATACCAAATTGAGCAATTGTTTTAGGCCAGACAAACTCAGTCTCCTGGTCCTCCAGGTTGGGGGTTGAAATGGTGGTGACTCCTTATTCCTTAAGACAGACTCTATAGCTCAGTGTCAAACTCCGCTGCCTTCTGGTCAGGTTTTCAAATCACAGGTTTTGGTTGAGAATGTTAACCTTTCTCCTGCCTAGGCCTGGACAATCTGACAGTACTCTGCTCACGCTAAGCAATCGAAACCTCACGCAATTTCTTGATGCTCTGACTGTCGCAGAGGATAATCAACGGCGTCCTATCTACTGTGCGGAGCGGGTTGGATAAGGACGAGGATGCTGTTTCTCACGCATCTATTGGGATCTCCTGTCTGCCGAGTATCCTGGAGTGGAAGTTCTGCCAGGCGACTGACGGATAAACCTGGGGTTTGCGGTCGACATAGTTCTCCTTGGGTCTGATGTTTTGATTATGTAAACACTACTGCACAGACTTGCTCGTAACGCTGCACGGTTCGGCATGTACTAGGCATCTTCAAAGTGTAAAGTGCTGTTGCAGAACTGGACCGACACACCGGTTTTAGCTATCTCCGGACGGCCACTGGAAATGGTGGATCGGTTCACTTACTTTGGTAGCTGTGTCACACATCTTGTGGTCACATCATTGAAGAGGATGCATCGCGTATCAGCCAGGCCCGTGTGGATTTCCAGTGGCTCAACCATCTATGGAGACGGTGAGAAATATCAGCTTGTCAGTGAAAGTTAGTGTGTAACGCTAGGATAAGGCCAGTGTTACAGTATGGTTTGAAACCTGACCAGTTCGGAGTGAAGACATTAAATGCACAGCCTTGTTTGACCACCGGTGCATGGGAAGTATTACTCGCGTTTGGTGGGAACACCGTGTGAACTATACTGAGGTCCGTCAGTTGGTTTTTGGCAAGAAGCATTCTGGTGACTCTCTCTCGAGTGTTTCATAAATCTTTGTCGCTTGCGTTGACTGGGCTAAGTCCTCCGTATGCCCGTTTATCGGCTTCCTCGGTATGCATTATACTCCGTGGCCGCATCAAGTTGGGCACAACCTCTAGGTGGCCAGTCCAGGACATGGCATAGTGGCCTGAGAAACTTGATCAGGCTGGTGCGTGCCGTCGTCCTGGATGGCGATCTCGGGGCGGTGTACACCAATGGTTGGTCACCCTGTCAGACTTGGCACAGTCACGAAGTCAGCGGCGTTCTTTCATTTGGTTGTTAATTTCGTTCCATTTTGATTAGTATAACGCATTTCCTTCTTACTTTCCTTTTCTCTACATTCTCTTCGCACCCAACTCCACTGTCTTACCGGTGTTATTTACTGTTATTCTTACGATGTGAGTCGTGGTAAATGTATTCACCGCACTTCGGTGCTCGGATCATAGTTAAGCAACT